GGAAGTAATGCATCAAATCCAATTCACGAAGATAGGTCTTTTCTAAATTATTTCACAAATTTTCTTTTTAACAATCCGAACAGTAAAAAAACAAAAAAAAACAAAAATGTTGTAACATCAACATCAATCAAATCGTTAAAATTTGCATGACGATCTGCAAGTCAGTTATTTAATAATCATATTGGGAAAGTGATTTTCAAACGGAAAAATGACTCCGTCAGATGGATGGATTGAGGAAACTCCGAAACAATCTGATGAGTATTGTACATAATATTGAAATAATCAAAATTAGCGCCATCAACCTGTCAAAATACTTTCAAATTGATTGTCTACAATGTTAATATGATAAATTTATACATTGCCATCCTATTATGGAATGTAATGTAATGTTGAATGGCAACGTTACAACTTTAAATGACTTACACTCGATTTTAATTTTAAATGATCCTTCCCACTTTTTTTTTTACCTGTTTCCTTTCTTCTTTTGACACTTTACACTTCGAACTACTTCGCGAGAGTTCGTTTTTCAATCCAAATAATTGGTTAATTAAATAGATATATATTTATTTATTCAGAGGCTTATTGAATTTAAATTTTTTTAAAAAAAGTAATAGAATAAATAGATGTATAATTAAAATAACGTTTATATAAAAAAAAAACTAGGTTAGATAATTAATTTATTTATATTTATTTTATATAAGAAAAGAAGTGATTTAGTGGTGTGTTTCACAAAAATGATGATTAATATCGGGGGGAGCGAAAAGATGGATGTGAGGCTTAGTTAGAGTACATTAAAGTACATTTTATATATTATTTATATGTATAAAATATCAATTAAATAAATAAATAAATAAAAAAAAAAAAAAAAGAAAAAAAAAATTATATATAAAAAGAGAGATTTGGAAGCTCTTAAGAAATCTTTAAGTTGTCTCGGTTTATTATACTTTGAGGCGTTCAGGAATATAACACTTTTATTACTTCCGAAACGAAATAATCTGCTAGCGTTTATAGACACAAATTTTCAATATTTCTTGTCGAGTCATCTATAGACCTTTTTAAAAGAATTTTTATTAGGAAATATATTCTTATGCTCAATATAAATTCTATTAAACACTTTTAAAATAATTATTATTGTTTAGTTATTGATTTCTACAAGATTTTATCGCAAATTTAATACAGATATATAATCAACCGTCATCTGTGAAACAAACTCTCACACTTCAAATAGCCGATGTCTCAAATCGCGCCAACTGCCGTCCAATTTTTGCAACTGGACGAGCTTAGACTTTTTTATAAACCACAAGATGATGACAACTTTTATCACGTAACTTGTAAATTGATTTTACAAGATTTTATCTCTTTGGATGATAATTACGAACATGGGTTCTTTTATCAATGCGCAGAAGCAAATTATTACGTTACATGCAAACTTTTCTCAAATTCTTTGATTATAGATATTTTGAACAAGGAGATATATGGAATGGATATCGATATTAACTTATATGGTAAAGGATTAATGACTTTACATCAAAAATTTAATCTCGAACAAAGCTTGAAGCAGATTCTCCCCTTTTACCTATTGCAACAATTGCAGCATCCAATTATTCCTGATGAAAATGGGTTGTCGCATAATATTTCTTACCAAGATGAAAATGGTAATAAGGATGATCATCAACAAAATGACATTATTAACGCGGGAAAATAAATTCATTGGTATTTTAGACTATCTTTATACCATTCGTAACAATTATTGTATTTTATTATTTAGTAATGTAGCTAATTCTCTTAATAAAATTTTCAACCGAATAACATTTTTGCAATCCATTTCTAAATAAATATAAAATTAAAAATTGTATAATCCGTTTTTAACGTAAAATTTAAATACATACAAATCAACTTATATCAACCAATTTAACATTAATCCTTATTCTTAATGCAGTATGTCAAACAGCGTGTAATGTTTGGCTGGGTTTCTTGTTACGTATTTGCTCTATTTATCGTTATGATAATTTATCATAAACAAATTTAATGTGTCACATAATTATCATTCTAAGTTTGTTTCTGTTGCAACTTATTGACTTCACTGCAAACCATATAATTAATTGGCATAAAATGAAAATTTATTGCGTGAAAACAAGGACATTTTTTTTTAACACGAGAGATCGCACCATTTTCAATTGAATAATGAAGGCGTAATTCCAAAGACTATGAGCAAATTTCTTAAATAGTATTGATGTATGCCTCAGCTGAATTGAACTTTTAAAATAGTTCTCTTAACCAATAAAAACATAAACGATAAGATATTAAAAAAAACTTTTATTCTTTCTATTTTAACATAACATATTAAATGTATAAAAATTTCAGAATCAATGCGTCACATTTTATAAACAATGAAATGGTTAGGATTTTTATCCAAATTTAGTCATATTCTTCGCGATGCTTTAGCATAGAAAATACTTAACATTATTAAACTTTTATAAAAATATTTTTTATAAATACTTATATTTTGTCAGCAAGATATGAATATAGAACTTTTCTGCAGAAGATAATTAGTTAAAGTATTCAAAATGATCCGGTCAACTAAAAAAAAATAAATTTAGTTATTTAAGAATTTTAATGCAGTCGGTTGATTCCTAATGCATGTTTCAATCCTGTGGCATTCTTTTTTTATAATTTATTACAATGTTTATTATCATTCATGGAAGTTGCCTGCCGGCTCTTTTAACACTCGATCCACACTATTGCGATTGTAACTGTGCTAGTGCTTTTTGATATTTTTAAAATACGAGACGTCTATGGTACATACAGTACAAAAACAAATATATACTGAACATCATTGTCAAAACAGGCAGTTTATTTAAAAATACGTATAGAATTGATTTCTCGAAATTTAATTGAAATACAGCAAATCAAAATGAACAGTAACAACCAATGAATTCTTGGATTTTTCTAATTCATTTTGAGTATTACTTAAAAATTTTTAAAACCAAAAGTTGGTGATACTTCAACAATGACTAAATCTTTCATTACGATAACGAATCGGCCAATAAAAATTTACTATGCGCATAATTATTTTGTTACACTACATGTTTTAAAAAAATCTCTCATGCTTATAAGACCCATTAATTTTTTTAAAAATTGTAAAAAATTAATTCTTGGAGATATTGACAAAATTGTATTCAAAAATGTTAGATACAAAAGAATCCATATATTGTGAAACTAATGAAATGGTTTTTTACAATCAAACTAATGGAAGGAAAGTATAATGCAACATATGTAAGAAAACTAAAATTCGTTTATAAAAACTGAGAATGAAAGATTTTTATCGTTTCTTTAGAATGAATTTACTACCATTCTATTAAAGCTTTATGATAAATTAACTTGAGTCAAGTTTAGATATAATTCGAGTTGAGTCAAGGTAAAAATTTTTAATACTTGACTGAAGAATATGTTATTGCAACTAACAAATAACAAAATCTTTTAAACACCATTTTTGTAGAAAATAAGCCAGCAATACTCGCATGATTTTAAAAAAAAATTTTATTTTATTTAATTTGGCTGGTTAATAAATACATATTAAATAATATTCGTATAAGGTTTTTTTTTTTTTTTTTTTTTTTTTTTTTGCTAATGTTTAAACTTAAATTTTTTTATTAATTTTTGGTTTTTCATTTTAAAAGATAGGTACGTATATTAAAAATTATTAAATACGTAAAATCTTGGAGTTAGACTAAATCTAATCTTTTCGAAGAATTTCATCTACATCGAGTTTATACATAAAGTATGCTTTTTTCTAAATTAAAAAAATACAATTTATTAAAAAAAAAATAAATAAATAAACTAAAAATAAGTTTTTACCTTACGATCCTGTTTAGTATTTTTCCACTTAATCTCACACTGGTATTCAGTAATATTATACTGATCGTTCTTAAGCCAAATGGAGACCCTTTCCCAGAGCAGTTTTCTAACTTTTTTAGCTGTCTTACCACGTTTTGCTAATAATTGAACATCTTTTTTATTTTCTTTTAAGCATGATAGAAAGGATTTAGTGGCACCTTTATTCCATAGTTGTGTTTCTTTACAACTCTCGTCATGTTGAGAACTTTCAGGTGTGGTAGTTGTCTCCGTGATTAAACCTTGAAAGAGAAAATGACAAAATTTAACGTTTAATTTTTTATTAACATTGCATTAAGTGCCAAATAGTTGAACATTCATTATTATCAGGTATAATAAGCAATTTTGAAATTAAATGAAAGGTTCATGATAAGTTTAAAATATATTTATTTACCTTGATTATCTGGAGAATGAACCTGATAATAAGAAGTGTTGGTATTTGGCGCAGTGGTATCAGAAGAACCAGAAGCTTCCGAGAGTAGGAACGAGCAATAATGGTTGGAAATTGTCGGCTGGTTATTTGCTGTTAATTGTATAAATCATTAAATAGTTTAATGCAAAGTAAAAAATTAATAAAATTAATGCAAAGTTTAAAAAAATATTTATTACCTGAGCTGATAGAGGATCCAGAAACTTCCGAGATAAATGAGGAATTCGAAGAAAATTCCATCGCTAGTTTTGTATTATTAGTCTAAAGCAAAATAAAAAAAATTTAATGCAAAGTTTAAAAATTATCTTAATACCTGGATTTGGAGAGAAAAATTGAAAATCCGACAAATCCGACGCGTCGATAGAGGATCCAGAATCTTCCGAGATAAATGAGGAATTCGAAAATGGGAATAAATTAGAAATTGTTGGCTGTTCATTTAATAATTCCATCGCTAATTTAAAAATTTTTAATTAGTTAAAGCAAAATGAATGCAAAGAATAATATTATTATTACCTTGAATTGGAGAGGAAAACTGAAAAGCCGATGCGTTGGTAGAGGAATTCGAAAATGGGAACGAAGAAAATTCCATCTCTAGATTTATATTATTAGTCTAAATCAAAATAAAAAAATTGAATGCAAAGTTTAAAAAAATATTAATTACCTTGATTTGGAAAGGAATTCTGAAAAGTCGACACGTTGGTAGAGGATCCAGAAATTTCCGAGGAATTCGAAAATGGGAACGAAGAAAATTCCATCGCTAGTTTTATAAATTATTAGTCTAAAGCAAAATAAAAAAAATTGAATGTAAAAAATATTTATTACCTTGATTTGGAGAGAATGGTACAGTGGTATCAAAGGAACCATAAGCTTTCGGAGAATTAAATAATGGCATTAAAGGAGAATCATTGGAAGTTGAAGGTTGATATATTAATCCCGCATCTATTATTAGTTGAAGCAAAGTGAAAATAATTAATTATAAGCTTTAATTATATAAATCAACATTCCGTTAGTTACCATCTTGTTGAAAATCAGAAGCACTTATGTCTTGTTTTGAACCCGTTTCAAACGAATTTGTGTACATTTTGTTATATAAATATAAATGATTAAAACAAAAGAAAATATGGTCTAAAAGAATTTTCTAAAAAAAAAAATTAACCTTATTTTAAACATAATTCTAGAATTGAATTGAAATTAATCCAATCTAATTACATAATTTGAATTGGATTACGATCCATTCTATATTTGCTTCGGATTTAATCATTAATATTGTTTAATATTTTTTAGGTTATTGGTATTTTTTTAAAGCGAATAAAGAACTTGCCCCGTCTTTTTGTTTGTTTACTCATTCGAATCAGATCAAAGCCGATCAATCCGATCTTTATTAATTTTACACGAATTCGATCCAATACCTTCTAGAGTATGTGATTTTCCATATTTAATTGGCAGGAATTAACATTAATGCGGTAAATTAGGGTTAATCTACGATTGATTTCAGTCATGACACAATGCACGTTGTTTGTTTAAATAAGTGACAAAAATTTTTTGCAAACATAATTTTTTATTAAAAATCTAATACTATGGTTAAAAAAAAAAACTACTCAGAGAACAGCCAATATATTTATTCATTTGTAATCTTTGATTGTAAGACTGGGATAATCCTTCAATGAATCAGAAAGATAATTATACAACTTATACAATGCAAGCCTAAATGCGTTTCGAAATTGTAGCGATGTTTCAAATAATAAATGATAGCTAGTATTGCCTTTGTACATTAACACTGTTATTAAACACGTATTAAATCAAAAGCTGATCATTATTGTTGCAATTGGCTTTTATTTTTTTTATTTTTTTTTTTAAAATCTCACAAGTTATTTATACCACTGGTTCTAATTTTCAATAACTCAACCCAATTCTAAGCAATCTAGAAATATTTTCAAGATTTATACATAATTCAACCTTATACTAATCAATGCAAAAAAATAGGTTATTTTCTTACAAATTTATACTTATTACTGGAATATGACGAATAATTTAATTTTAATTTACCATATTGCTTGCAAATGGCCTTTGTACAGTAACAACAAAAGAATCAAAAAAATCCTTGGATTAGATAAAAATAATCTTGAATATAACAGATTATTCTGAACAAAATGGTTGTGTGTACAAAAAATTAATAATTTAACGAATTTTAAAATATTTCAAAATTCTGAATTTTGGTATATGTATTCACGTGACCGAAATTTTCTTATTTTTTAAAAATCATATTTATAGAAAATCTGAAACAAAACGTATCCTTTGAATATAACTTAACTATAACTAATTTATAAAAAAGGCGTAAAACTTAAAATTCTTAAATTGAAAACATAATGTGCATAAATGTTAAAATCCTTAAATCATAAACTTTTTTTTTTATCTTAAACTCTAAACGTGCATAAATTTATAATTATTCTTAGAAAATTTTTTTATTTGACGTCAACATTCATTACTCCGAACTAAAGATAGGTAAATTAAATTAGAATAGTTCTTATTATAATTCAAATTATATAAATCGTTAGAACTAACCTTAGAATTTCTTCAACGTCTAACTTATACTTATAGTCTGGCTTATTCTAAATAAAAAAATTCCAATTAGTAAAAAATAAATAAAAATTTAGGCCAAATTTTATTAAAAGGAAATAAATTTACTTTAAAATGCTGTTTAATATTTTTCCACTTAATGTCACAACGTTTCTCAGAATAATTGTTGTAGCCATTTTCGCGTAGCCTACTGCATGCACCTTTCCAGAGCAGCTTTCTAATTTTTCCTGCTGTAGAACCACGTTTTGTTAGATTTTGAACCTTTTTCTTATTTTCTTTCAAATATGTAAGCAACAATTTAGTTGGAACATCCTTCCATACAAATTGGGGTTCTTTATTTTCATTTGTTTCTTCACAACTTTCGCCAGATTGGGAACTACCACTTTTATAAGGTTCGGTAATATCGTCAAAACCTAAGTAAGAGGAAATGTATATGTTCAAGTTGTTTTTATTTTTTTTGACAATAATCACGTGTGATTTCATTATTATTATAGTTTGTACCAAATAATTAAACAGCATTCATAGTTATCAGGTAAGAATAAGCAATTTTTAAATGAAAAAAGGTTCATATTAAGTTTAAAAAGATATTTACCTTGATTACAGTTTGGATCATCAGACATGATAGGCGGAGGCGGATTGTTTATATATTCTGGTGGTGGATACATTCCGATATCAACATCTTGTTATAAGAATATAGTGCATAACGAGTTAAAAAATTGTAAATTTGAAAAAAATTTTGAAGAAACGAGTCGTTTCAGCAGCAAAATTATTGCTGTGAAAAACTTTTCTAATTTTCGTGTCAAATAGTTAAAAAACATTCATCGTTCTCTGGTATGAAATAGCAAGTTTGAAATGAACATGAAAGTATCATGTTAAGTGTAAAAAATATTTATCACCTTGAATATGGCTTGCATAATTATTTGGAGAATAAGATAGATTAGACATGTTGGTATTTGTTTTCGCAGTGATATCATAGAGTCTAGTAGCTTCTGGGACATAATCACAAGTTTGAGAATGGTATTCTGATGCTAATTCTATATAATTTGAGGCAAATGAAAAGATTAATACAACGATCAAGCTAAGCGTTAGCATCTATGTAAAGTTTAAAACATATTTATTACCTTGATTATAACCGTCATAAGATTCTGATAAATCAAAAACTGGGTAATAAGTGTGTTGTAAATCATTGGAAGTTAAAGGCTGGAAATTTATCATTTGATTATGATCAGACATGCTGTTGGAAAATGGATCGTTTGATATGAGCAACAAATCTAGATTTATCATTGTAAATTATTAGTTTTGGTTTATTAGTTTGAAACAAAGTGAAAGAATTATTTACTTGGGTCAATCATTTCGTTATTTTCTTGTGTATTAAATGTATCTTGTGAATTCATGTTAAATGTATAAAAATATAAATGAACAATGAAGAAATTTAGAAAAAAATACTTCATACTTATAGATAATTTTCGAATTGAATTGAGCATCTATTGAATTGGAATTAACTTCAATCCAATCTCTTTGACGTGAAAAATAAATCAATTTAATCGAAAGTCTAAAGTATTGTTTAAAATTTTCGATTAGCTTTTCATTTTGCTAAAGCGAACAAAAAATTTAATGAAGAAAAATTTTTTTTTTTTTATTGTAGCCGTTTATAATACTAAATATAGAACTTTATTTTAATCTTGGGAAGATCGGCAAAGGTTTCTCGAGATCAAATTCATTGTTCGATGAAAATATGATGTAAACTTTAGAACGTATTGGATTTTAGATTGAATTTTTTTTTGCGTAACATTTATGTCTTAATAACATTAATTATAAGTTATTGTGCTTTGCAACGACGATTAATATTAAAATTATTGTCCAATTCATAATGTCGATCGGTTAGAATTAGCCACGTCAGTGGCTAAATCTGACCGATCATCATTATGAATTGGACAATAATTTTGATTATTTATCAACGCAAGCACAATAACGA